TCTGACAGGCCAGGCTGGCCGTCAGGAAGGGCCAACGTGGAGTAGGCTGGATGCCACAGGCACGAGCTGAGGCTTGTCCCAGGTAGCACTCAGGAGTGGGTACCCAGGGAAAGGGAGAACAACTGCAGACCCAGCTGCTGTTTGGTTGTCTCTGGGCTCAGGGAAGGCTTGTGCCCTCCTGAGGGGCTTCTAACTGATTGAGTCAGACCCATCCAGGATAATCTCCCTTTTGATTAACTTAAAGTCAACCAGTTTTAAGGTGGGACTTTAATCCCACCTGCAAAATCCCCTTTCCTGGCAGCACCACGATGTGATTGAATAGTTAGAAGAAGGTTTGTGTATGCTACAAAATGACCACTGCCCCATCCAACTCCTAATTCTCAGGATCAAATGTCCTTGTGGTCCACTGAACTGAAAACGTACTAGAAAGTGCATTTTGAAGATTGTAGTTCAGCCTGGCCACAGTGACACATTATAAAGCCATCTCAGGCACGTACTGTATTGTCTTCAGTACTCAAAGAGTTCAACAACGTGCTAGCTTCCTTTTTGGTGGTAGGAGTCTGAAAAGACAACCATTTGTCCTTGATGGCCAAAGGGATTGGGCCAAGTTACATAGTCCCAAGAAATGTAACTTGGTGAGTAGCCCCTGAATTCTGCTGGTAGAGGTGTGTCACAGTGCAGTGAGACTGAGGCTCCTGACTTGCCAACCAGTGGGACATTTTATGTAGTGAGAACTTGGGAAGTTAGATGGTAGGGGCAGTTGCTTTATATCCTAACCCACCCACTGGTGACAGATGGCAGGGAGATTGTCCTGCTAACATTTCTCCACCTGCAGCTCTTTCTGATTGGGAGAAACCCCCACCCCCGGCTTTATGGACACAAGTACAAGTATCTATAACACAACACTTTCTATTGTACATAGAAGTAGAAACAACAGTACAATGAATTGACACAAAGGACACCATCCACTAACATGTCATGTTAGTTTCCCTTCAGCTAAATCCAAGTACCCCCTCTGCCAGGGCCAGGTAGGATGGTGACTTGGGTGCCTGTATTTACAGAGCCTTCCAAGTTTGAGTTTCTTTTCTGAAGTCCCCTGACATACTTAGATGGGTACATAAGGTTTCCGTTCCTCTTAGGGACAGGGATACTATGGCTTACCCCAAATCATCTTTCTCCTTGAAGCAGATGTCAGGGTAGAGGGGAATGAGATGGGACAGTGGCTCTCCAGCAGTAAGCAAGGCACATTTATGTTCAGTTTCAAGTAACCTGGTGGCTATGTATGGCTCAAGCTAATGAATGTCTGGGTCACTTCAATATTTATATTCTCATTGCTGATGTCATTTGTTTTGGCCTTGGGGACTCCTGTATTTGGTAACTACAGCCACATCACCACACATCTGGTGCCAGGAGGCCTGCTGCCTCATTGTCATGGCAACGTGCCCTCCTCCTCCCACCCAGAGCAGAGTGGGCAACAACCAGAGCACCACTGGGAGCTTGTTCAGTCCTACCTCTTGCTGCTCACCCTCTAGACCTTAATTAACTGTTTTCTGTCACTCATACCAACTTGGAGACAAGAACATTTGCTGCTGGATCCCGGGGCATCTTCTCATAGCTTCAAGCAATACTTTGTCTTTTCTCTTGCAGAACGCTGTGTTTCTGCCAGTATCTGCTGGGCTCTGGCAATCCTTCCGCCTCAGCCTTCCAAGTAGCTGGAACTACAGGCATGTGCTACCACGCCTGGCTCATTTTGATTTATTATAGAGATGAGGTCTCACCAAGTTGCCCAGGCGGGTCTCGAACCCGCAGGCTCAGGCAATCCACTCACCTCAGCCTCCCAAAGGTGCAGGATTACAGGCTGAGCCACCGAGCCCGGCATTATCCTACTTTTTTTTTTTTTGAGTTGGAGTCTCACTCTGTCGCCCAGACTGGAGTGCAGTGGCCGCTCCCGGCCACTGCATCCTCGACTTGTTGGGCTCCGGCGATCCTTCCGCCTCAGCCTTCCCAT